TAAACTTGATAAAGTTCTACAGTCAGTTGCAATATGAAAAACTCAAACAATTACAAATATGTTATCAAGCAATTCAAAAGTAGGAATTATGATAAGACAGAGTCATGAAGGATCATATTATATTATTACAGTTGACTTGCAAAACATCAAAATAAAAATCAGCTAAGAAGCACCCATATTCAACAATTTTATTTTGTTTCATAAGAGTATCATTGGTATCAGTATATCAAGCCTATCAATCTATAGTGTTCAAAGGAGCAAGCCACCAGGTCTCAAGTGTATACTCGCCTTAATCATTATTAACACCTAGAAAACCTCATTAATGCCACTTGTGATAGTTCTAATTGTCATTGACTTAACTAGAAACTCTCAATGGAATATATGCCACTCTTATTCAGTAAAAATTCTCGAATAATTTATTTATGCCATAACATTTTATTTTTTGTTCGTAACAAATCAGTGTCACTTATAGGATACCAAGGCGCCAATTATTGGAAAATGCCTTTTACAGAAGGCTATTATATAATACATAATTTACACTCTGTCTAGTCTCTCTTCACTGACTTAGATACCCACAAGAATGCCAAAGTGCAAATTATGAATGGATACAAACTTGAACAGCAAGACTTCACCTTATTTCAAATTTTTCTTCAAGTTTTGACTGCACTGTTTGTAGCTCATTTTATTATTTTATTATACAACAAATGTTTAACTTATGAAGATATACCACATGTGAAATTCATAATTGTTCCTTTCATTAGTCATAATGCTTTTTGAGTTAAATATCACTCTGAGAGTGATTCATTGAATTTTCATTCCTTAAACCCTTAAACTAACCTTTGTCACCCCTTGAACTGACTTTGGAGCAACTGTCATCCTACTTAATTATGTAATATGTTTTCCCATGTTGTCATGTAAAATTGAATTTATTTTGATAAACCAATCAAGTCAGAACACTAACAGATGTTCTTTTGACATACCTTGCATGCGGGACGATTAAATATGTCGAAATACAACCAAGCAATTCATGGAATAGTATATCCAACTCATATGATACACAGTAGAACCTGTGTAAGTGGAACACCCTAAAAAGTTTTCCACTAGCGATGTGTTCCACTTACAGAGGTCCATTAATATGGAGTCAGTAGGCTGCAGGAAATAAAAAACCTGTTCCACTTGGGAGGTGTTCCATTTACAGAGGTTTTCCACTTAGCAGTTTCTCCTGCACTTTGATTTATATCCTAGCAATGACATATTGTCTGATAATATCAACTAAAATACACTTTTAATCAGAAAATGATGAATCTTCATATGTCCGCCTAACAGATCACACTGAATTATCACCTTAAAGTTCCAATTACTCTGTAGTGATTGAAAAATGTTTAATTTGCTAAACATGACCTTATAAAGACACAAATATGGACCACATTAACACTGACACAATGGCAGTCTTAGAAATAAAACCTTTCATGGAAACCTAGACATATTAGAGCAAATTGAAAAAAGACACTTCTAATTTATAATCAGTGCTAAATAAGCCATTCCTAGTCCCCTCATGTTTTAATGATGAAGTAAAGCTGAAACAATAGAAGATGAACTGATTTGAAAGATTATTTATTGAATGGAATTTATGTTTTGATCAGTGGTCCACTTATCATAAAAATGTATATATCAAGCAAGTACAGTTTATGATGAATTATTATATAAACTCATACCTACAATGGTGATGTACCATTTAGCAAAACTAGGGAGCATGTCATTAAATCATTTATTTCAGTTTAGCCCGCACCCCTTCCTCTAATTTTCTTGGATGTGATATTGGCTACACTGGATGAGAAGAGTGTACTGAATATACAATATCCAATATCAGCCCAAGGAATACTAAAAGTCCAAATTCTCACAAATTAAAATAGAGAAGAATTTTCTTCCACCCTACAATGTCTGTTGATGGACGGTAATGATTTGATGAGTCCCATAAATACTTTGCAGTTCCCTACTGCATATTTTATTTTTTCAATTTTGGGCACTTAGCTTTAATATTTTTTATATATATTCCTTAATTATATTGAAGCAATGTCTGTATTTGATTATAACGCTGTACCAACATTTCCATTTTTCACTTTCATGCAGAAGAACATTCGTTCACAATCTTGTTAGTCGAGATAGGAACAAACATGCACTTACATTCAGAATTGAGGTACCATAAAGGCTAAGGTAAATAATAGATTGCTTAGCATATCCTTATAGATCAGTTTGAAATATTAAAGTATTTGAAATAATACTTGAACTCCATGTTGTATTAATAAAAATTAAGATTTTGAATCTTATAGATTTTATTTGTTTTGACATTGTTTATTTCATTGGACGTAAACAATGAAGCTTTGATAAAATAGAATAAAACAGAATCTCATTTTCATTAACATCAAAATTGTGAAACAGAGAATTGACTTTCTGTGGCCTTAATAGCAATAACATGGCACAAGTGGCGGAACATCAGCACACTTATTACCTTATCAAAGCATTTTAAGTATCCGACATATCTTTGCTCATTCTTCAAAGATAACAGTTACCCATAGAGAAAGTTTCATTAGTCCATGGTATTTTACATCAGTGTTCAATCGATCTGTAATTTTCTAGTATTTTTACTGATAAAGTTCAATGCATTGATTACAGGTTTTGTTTATGTGAAAAGTTTAGTGCTTTTTTTATTTTCAATTTAGAAATGATGTCTTCTAATATTCATGCTAAATATACAACTATTCCACCCTTGGCTCAATGAATGCTATCATCCTTTGATATATGGAGTAATGTGGATACATCATTATGGACTTTAAAGTATTCTTCCTCCATATTTAGATTGGTGTGTTTTATCCAACAACCCTTCGCCCATTTGTGTTATTTTATCATTTTAAGCCGACAAATGAATAACTTAATAAAAAAAAAGATATTCAACTGGCATGGTCGGCGTTAGCTTTGCGTCGTTCTCTGATTCTCTGATGCTAATTTATATTTTTACATAAAAAAAAGAAATTTAAGCCGCCCTATTGGTTAAACCACTGACCCATCCAGGGAATGGGGTTTAATTAGCAAGAATCAATATCTGACACCTGAATTTGCTGCAATATTTTACATGTGAGCCACTTACAGTTATAATTCAAGTAATAATACCTGAAATAAGAAAGTACTGGACAAGAAGCAAATTTTTTTAAACACAACATGAAGGGTCCACATGCGACATTTACAAAAAAGCGTTCAGGTGTATAACCATATATTTCCCTTGAACCATAGGTTTTTCCATTCTTGTGTTTTCTACAAGAGAATTACTGGTTCCACCTTCAGCCTTTTCCCTGGAATAAAGGTCACATACATGCAGATGATGGAGATCAGAGAGGGTTAAGGTAGTTCTGCATGATGAGGTTTTGATTGATTTTGAAATGAGTAATGATTTTTACAATCTATATATATATTCTTCCTTCCACATCATGGTTTGAAATAAAAAATTATTGTGAAATGACATATCCACAATTTGTGTTTTGAACACTTTTTATGAAAGTACGGAACTACCTTAAGAGGCATGAGTCAGAAACCCTACAATAAAACTATAAAAGAAAGATAGCAAATAAACTACATATGACATAATAATCCACATAAAACCTGTCTAATCCGAACACCACTGGGACCAACCTCAATTATTCAACTAATCAGATAGGCAGGTGCCCACTTTTTAATCTAACATGAATGTCTATGACAAGTGATAAAAATAAGATAAAAAACATCCACATCAAGAGATGTTCTTATGAGTGTTCAGATATGAAGGTTTTACTATATCTGACTTTTCAGGTGTATCAAATCGGATTTACTGGCCAGTATTATTTCGGAAAACATATCATGCAAATGTCAAAACAATGATATAATCTCCAGCTTGGGATGTCTCCAATTCCATTATAAAATTCATCATTTTTATAATCAAGTGGTAGATCATTTCATGATTGAGATTCATTCGTTTGATTTTTCATCATGTCTTATGTAATCTATTTTAAATTGTTTTCATATCACATATGATAATATTATATTTATCCCTCACATAACAATCAAGTTTTTATATTTAAAATACAGTGTTGTTTTCATTTAATAATGATAAAAACATGATGTAATGCTCAGGAGAATTGAAGGAATTCAGAGGGTCTTCTGTTTGCAATACATAACATTGTGTCTAAAAGAAAGTCCATTCCATAATAAATATTCTTCCATTATTACATTTACCCACCTCCCATTGCTCCTTAATGAATATAATAAAGATGTAAGTTGCATTATTTCTAAGACACAATGTTGTGTATGTGCAACAGAAGACAGTTAAGACCAAAGTTGAACTAGAAGATCTTACCTATAAAAAAGTCAACATGCAAATAGATGTCAAGATATCAGAGTTAAAGAAATTCTACAAAGTATTTTAGAGAATAAGTTGGGATTTAAGCTTAAAAGTGATATTGTGATTCTTCTATAGGTAAAATTGTGAAGAAATACATTGATTTGAAGATACGATTACTATTAATTATTATAAATTAAAAAATAAAATCCTAATAAGGGCATGAACAGGAATAAAGAGCATAAAGTTAATGCCCAATATACTGAAGGATCTTTCTTTCTATCAAGTATACCAGTATACTTAAAATAAGAAAAACACACACCCAGTTTTATTTTGCATCAATTCCCTGTCCCACCTCCCCTTTCACTATATATCTATTTTAGACCCGATGGGAAGGGGGGGGGGCTGTATGTAAAGAGACTTGATGCAAAATTTGAACAATATGAGATGGTAAATGTACACTGAATCTATGAGAATTGCCTCTGAGATATACAGGGTGTCCATAAAGTTTCTTTACAATTGCACAGACTTTGTATCATAATTGTAAAGAAACTTTATGGTCACCCTTTATTTTTTGCTACAAATTCCATAGAAGCAGTGTAGATGGACCGTTACTTTGAGATATTTAACTTACCTGATTGACTGTATGAAATCACTGATAGGTAAGTTGTAAGGATGCACAGCACCCAATGTAACATATCACTGTTGAAATTCATTGTCTCTTTTTAATGAGGATTTTGTATCAAAATGTACTGCTGATCATATATATCAATGTTTGCCTTGTCATGTGTTATATTGCTGATTGTGTATATACCTGTTGCTGATTGTGTATATACCTGTTGCTGATTGTTCATAAATGTCTTTATGTTAATTATTATGGATTGTTCTCCCAATGAGGATTTTTCCTAATGAGTTTTTCTGTTTTATAAAGTTGGTTCCTAATGGCAGTGTCTCCAACCGCATTGTTTAATTTTCCATTTTCCCAATCACTTGAGCAATTGTATGATACCCTTTTAATTTGATCCTAAACAATTAGCTAATGTTTCTAAACAGCTGTATGTCCTTTCCTTTAATCACATAATATCCGGATGAAATTGTTTACTGGCCTTTTTCCTTACTTGTCATACTGAACTTCTTTAGGCATTTCAGGATTAAAGCATGCTATTAATAAACTTTATCCTGTTACACGATATGGATTATAATACTGCTGTTATATTGTCAAGCATGTGGGCTTTGCTTGATTCAAATTCCGTGAAATTAGCACATTTTTATCAAATGTTTGTTGAGCTGCTTGATTTTGCATGCTGGGTCATTAATCACGTCATTGATCTTAATCTGACTCCGGTCTGTCCACACTTAGAATCGCCAAGCTTTGTTGTTTGACCAACGTTATTTTTATTCTTGATCTGATTGGGCTTTCATAGAAACCCAGTGATTAATTTCTTTGTCCAATCCAGTGTATCATTTAGTCATCATCCATGGAGACTTATGATGTTGTCATCCTTTTTGTTGTTTCAAACTGAAAAACATAAGAGGGTTGGTTTAATGTCAAATGATATTATGTGTCAGGGGCGTAGCCAGCTTTCAGTCAGGGGGGGTGCGATCGCCGAAAATTTTTCAGTTTTCGGTCAGGGGGGGTGCGATTTTGCCATAAGTAACACAAAAAATTAAGATTTCTTTTGAATTTTACAAAAATTGATGCAACTTCCTTCAAAATTGAGCTAGAAGCTTCAAATAAAAAGTATTTTAAAGCTCTTTTCTACCTCTATCCAATGGTCATATTTTCAAAGGTTATGGGGGGGGGGTGCGATCGCACCCATCGCACCCCCCCTGGCTACGCCCATGTGTGTTGAGCTATTTACCCACCCTGTTCTACACTGATTGAGTTTCATAGACATATACCCCCATATTCTGTCTATTGTATGTAAAGTGATATTTTACACACATAATTTAAATAAATCTAAAACATCGCCATTCTCAAGCCTAGATGTTAGTCTTTACATCTAGCAATGTCCAGCTATGTTTTACTGGTATAACAACTTGTTATGACTAGCCCTTGTTTTTTGGTGATTCAAATTGCAGAAATTACAAATGTGTAAATTATACCAACAATACTTGAAATCTAGTTATTTTTTATTCTTTTTCTGTGTATCCTGGATTGTCCAGCTATGTTTCACTGATATGACCACTTGGTCTTGGTCAAGTGGTCTCCCGTGAATTTGCTAATATCTTTTGAGTGTTTTTCTCAGTGGTTTGCGGCTGAGCTGCTATTTGATTGGCCTTCTGTTTGATGCTATCAGTTCTACCCCCCTGGCTGTTGAGTCTCCCACCCCCTATGCTCAGAAATTACCTGTCCCTTTACCCAACTGAGCATGTCCCCGTGGAACAATATAAATTCATCAATTAACCTATTGTTTACAAGTGTAGTTATCTTTACAATTTAAGTACATGTGTTTAATTGGATGGGGTGTTTGTTTTTCATATACCTCTACTGTATAATTAAAATTGTCTCATTTGGATAACTTGTATCATTTATTTCTCTTGGTATTAATATACGTGTTGTTCATAACTCTTATTAAAATACCGGAATAATTGAAGTTCACGTTTAAGTGTATTAACGCTCAATTATTCTTACTAAACTGCTAAATGTCATAAACATGTTTCATGGTATTCACCTAACAACAAAGTGCCCCTAAATCCTTGTTAATACATATTCTAAATCTTTGACCTGGATTTGATTTAGTTAACTTCTCTAAATCCACTGATTTTCCTTTTAGGGGTTCCAAATAATCGATGTTAGCAAATCACCTGGAACTGCATGATAATTCACAAAGTAAATCTTAAATCTAGAAGCTAAAGATTTAATACAAACTTTCCTTTAAATCCTGATCTCCCCAGAGGGGGGCTGGCCATATGAAAATTATACTTTTGATTGCAATTTGTATTTATTCTAAATAAGTGACACATTCTCAAAATAGTCGAGAGTTGTGCAAATTCCCAATGGACTTAAAGTAAGATTTATGGATCAGAGTATATATGTGTATTTATGTTAATATGATTTACTGAAAAGTCACTTGTGGTACTCATTATATTTATTTAACCTATGACACTGAAATAATTAGCTAATATAAGATTTTATTAACTACAATCATTTTCAATAATTCCCATGGCCCATATTATATATATATGTAATGGGACCATGATTTACCCATATCTTAAAGGCTCAAATCAGAGCCCTGTGTGTGTGTCCCATAGAATATAATAAATCTGTATTACTATTTTATATATGATTTAAAGTTACTGTATATTTCAGTTTCCTTGTGGTTTACTTTTTGTCATCAAAGTTTTACAGAAAATTGGCAAGGTGTGCATTATGTTTATATTAGCATTTGTAATTTTCTCACTTGGTACAGAATTTATCATTGCTAATGATAGGGTTGTTTGTGAGAAACTCCACGAGGGCATACAACCTGCAACGTAGCATTGAGAGGCAAATAAGCTAATGACAGCCTTCATATTGTCAGCTTTGATATATCAAACAATTTCCAGACGTTTAGACTTGAAAAATATAAATCCCACTTTTATGCATTCCGAGCATTTGTGAAATAGAATGAGAATTAAGAATATTGTATGAATGATGATTTTTAAATGACTATATTCTGAACTTGTTAACTTAACATTTTATACTTTGTATATATTGTACCTTATGTTTTTGGAGGTAATCCTATCTAGTTAGACCTAAATTTTTGTTTTAAAGCTGCTATGAATTCTTATACATCACAAAGATAAGAGGTTCCACTCTCCATATAATCTGTATATATCACGTTTATATATTCTGTATACCCTTTAATTTATAAAATAAGAAATTTTACTTGTCTTTACCGTCATTGGATCCTCTGCTTATAGGACATGATTGACTTTCTTCAGCATAAATCACCGGAGCCTAAGTGAGGTCATTTTGGACCAATTTTAAGTATTGTTTCTAGCTTAAACACTTTTACTCCCTGTCTCTTAAGCTGTATTTATGACTATAATGACCCTCTCAAACCAAAGCATAATCTTTTCTTGTAGTAATGAACTCATTTGTTTGTGATGTTGTTTTGAGATTTTCTCAATAAAGAATTATACATCATGAATAATCAATTGTATTTATATAAAACACGAACTCCTTGAAAGTTGTAAAAAATATATTGATTTTAGAAAAAGTAAAAACAACAGAAGGTAAATTAATCCATACACCTTCATGTAGGGTCGTGTTTGGAGTATTGATGGTCCATTACCTCCTCTGCTGGAAATCACCTGAGCTTATTGGCCAAAGAAATAGAGAAATTAAGTAAGATTTTGAATTGGGGAAAAAACCTTAAAAACTCATTAATTATAGTCGTGACTGTATCAAATAAAAGGAGAAACCAAAGTGGAACCTAAGTATTTGAACCTGATGATTTTTACGAACACAATTAGGTTCAGACTAAATATTTATCTTGGTTTCAAATCAGTTTTAATCTTAGTAAGTGGAGAGTAATGTTTGAGTAAGAAAAACAGTTACTTACATCACAAAGGTGCTTTGAAATAGAATCTCAGAATGAAATGTAAATATTTAAGTTTTTGGAAGTCTTTTGGGAAATTGCTGCTTATATGGTGTTGGTGCACTTTACAAATTAACGAGGAGATCAGGATCTTTGATATAAAAAGGATCTCTGATATAAGCAATCATTGTTATGCTCTGAAGTATGATGAGATTAGAAAGCAAACAATCAAAGTATAATTCTATCAAATCTCAATTGCCAATTTGCTGGTCTTACCTTTTTATATATTGGGAATTAACTCCAGACTAAACTTATTCAGCTTAATTACTTTTGAATCTAACTGAGGTAACTTACACTAAGATCATACATGTATTGCATTAATAAATTAGTCTTAATTAATTTACCTTTACGTAAAAATAATCTTTTGCTCATTTTTAATACTCAAGAAAGCATAAATCTGACGACAGTTAAAAAATAATCAATTTTGGTAGGAAAATGGATTTGAATGAAGGGGGGGGGGGGGTTACTTATATTTAGCTGTTCTGTATCTGGAAATCCATGCTATAAATGGACAATTTTAGCTAAGGGAACATAAAAGGGACACGTCAATGAGAGTTAGCAGTATTGGTGTCTCATTCTATTTCAGTATTCAATTTCTGGCTTCTTTAATAATTTAGTGAATCAAATTGACCGGGAACATTAGAGTCATCCACCCCCTTGTGATCAATAAAAACATTATCTACCAATAAATGTAATGATATTTCCCTGCCTCATCAGACTTTTTTATAGAATATGGTTTTGTAAGGCAGTGTTAAGGAAGGCAGGGGCCATTTTTATTGTTGTTCAAAATTCACTTTTCAGCATTTAGTAGCTTTGGAAAGAGTAATCTGGCCCCGGGGAGGGGGGGGGGGGTACTCCCATATATTGGCTATATGGGGACGTGCCGCTAAAGTGAGTCACTTTTTTTGCCGAAAAATCCCTAGATGTGGGTCCTATTTTGAAGAAAAAAACCTAGATATGGGTCCCATTTTGATGAAAAATCCCTAGAACTGGGTCTACTTTTTGAAAAATCCTCAAACTGGGTACTGTTTTTGAAGGGAAGTTCGTCTTGTATTTTTTAAAATTACCTTGAAGTGGGTCTATTTTTGAAAGAAAAACCCTAGATGTGGGTTGATATTTTGAGTCTCAGC